TGGATATTCTTATTTTTGTTATTTTAAAATTAAATTTTAATATTTCCTAGGACTATGCTTTTAAAGGCGTAAAAAGCAGTCGACAAAGGTTTATCCAAAACAGTCTTTATTTGCTACTTGTGCCTTAGATTTTGTGGACATATCATTAAACACGGCACAAAAGACCGGGAAAATGTGGAAAATACGGCAAATAAAACAAAATAACAGAATAAAACTGTAGTGCATTTTAGCCTGTCAAAGTTTATTTGCTATGAGAATTTTGTATTTTTTGTATTTATCTCAGAAACTACTGAAGCCAAAAATATTTGTAAATAACTAATTTCTATGACCTTTAATATACAGTATGTCCCCAGATTGAGTTTACATGTTTCTGCTGTCAACATAAATCTTCACCTTAATAGTATATTATGTATAAACTTTGATAAAGGCCATGAGAATCTGTATTACCAGCGGCAAATGTCAAATTTTTCTGTTTAAAGCGAAATGTATCCCTTAAAAATGGACTAACAACCGTTTAAATTAGATACAGAAGCAGTTTTTTACAGTGAAAGAAAAGAGAATGTTTTATGGGCACTCCCACCACCACCTGAAACGTTTTTTAATGCTTTATACGCTATATCAAGTTTACTGCCGGCCACAGTCTTATACAGTGTGTATTAAAACGAATAGATACACTTAAATAAAATAAGTGCCAAACCCCGCCCACTGTGGTAGGGATTGAATCTTTAATACATTGGGAGATATTAGTCCTGAAATGCTGTTTAACGTGCGTAGGAATTTTTATGATAGGCATTTAATTTAGAAAAAAAGTTATTTTCGTTATTTTAGAATTATTATTATAAGTATTGTTTAAAATCCATTAAATTCCAGTTAATGGCGAAAATGTATTTCTTAAAAACTATACAAATTTCCCTACGACAGCGTCGGAACTACTGAACAAACACAGTAGATCAAACTGCATGCCCTTGTATCTGGCTGCATGCCGCGCTGTTGCCATATGCTATTATTGTTTCCTAAAAGGGTTGTTTTTCTTATTTTTTAATATTAAAAGTAAGAAAATTAACTAAATCAAATTATTTTTGAAATATTATTAATTTTTTTGTTATTTTTAAAGTTTCAAACAAATAAAATTGAACTATTTATTAAATAATTATAATCGGTCTCTTCTGATTTAAAACAACCTGGCAACTATGGTTCGTAATTACGAATGACTTGGTTTAAACCACGCCCAATTAAAGTTTGTTTCTTTTTCTCTGATCAGAATATAATTTGTCATCCTTTCCTCCAGCCTTACTTACTTGATTCTATACAGTCTGTACACTGTAAAAAATATTACATGAATATCCATGGCATTAGGTAACCTATATTAAATCATGTAATTTTACTAACCATATGTAAATTTCCAATATGATATGTGATATTACAAATTATATTATTTGTGTATTTCCCATATTTTACATGCAGCTTTATGTAAAATTTCGTAAATTTACCCTAAAATCATAAGGATTTTTACTTAATTTTACATAGAGGTTTATGTAATATTTTTTTTAATTACTTTAATATTATGCTATTTTACATTCTTGTTTATGTAATATATTTTAAAATTAAACTATTTTACTTATTATTTCATGTAATATTACTTACATAATAATGTAATATATTCAGGTTAATACATGCATACTTACCAGAATTTGATGTTTTACTGTAATGGTATTTTAATTAAAATCAGGTAAAAAATACAAAATTTTAAATATATATTTTAATAAAATATTCTTAAATAACATTTAAAAAAATAGTAAAAATACCTTAAATATAAACATAAAACTTTCCTTTTAAAAACATATAATTAACTTTTAAGGTTATTTTAGAAATATAAAAATACTATTATTTTATATTTTTAAAATTACCTTTAACATATGTTAAAGGTAATATTACCTTTAACATTTCATTTAACATAAACATAAAAATTTCCTTTTTAAAACATATAAACATATAACGGTTATTTTAGAAATATAAAAATACAATTAAAATTATGCCTTTTATATTTTAAAAACTACCTTAAACAAAATAAATAAAAATCTTAAAATTAAAATACAAGATCTAATCTAAAAATAAATAAAAAGGTACTAGATAAAACATAATAATATTATATTAATTAATCTAATTTAAAATTTGTCAATTTATTTATGAATGTTAAAACTTTATTTTTTCCTTTACTTTTATTTGATTTTGTGCCGCTTCCAACAGGGTGAATTTTAAAGTGGAACCTTTGCAAAAATTCCATTGTATTGCTTATGTTCTTAACGTACTGCACATTAAAAATATAATACAAAATGAACATCATCAAGAATGCCTCATAAAACGATGACGCTATACATATTTCTTCGTTTTTCATAAATACCTTGAAGTTTGACTCTGGAAATCAAATCAAATGTTATTATTAAGTTTAGATATATATTTTAAAGAATATTTAGTAGCATAATTATAAAAGTACATTGTAACAAACAAAATAACTAACCATACTCAATAATTTTTGGAACCAATACATCGTTTTTTGATTCTATTTCCTGTAATAGAATATATATATATATATATATATATTAAATCAATTAAAATAAACGGATAAACAAAATGTACCTTATTGGAAATGGTAGAGAAATCTTCTTTAAAATATTTAGAAATAATTTCTATTGAAAATTTTAAGTCGTTGTCAGATACCATTGTTTTGGCTTTTTTCTCATGCACACATTTTCTTTAAACTTTTCATTTATTGCCACTCCAGTTAGCTCACCAAAATGCCATAATAAAGCTTATTAACTTTTAAAAGTACATGAAAAATAAGATCAAGAAACATCTTTGATTAAATAAAAATTATCCTATACTTACCAAAATTATACAAATAGCACTAAAACTAATCACGTGTTGCCTCGTAGAAGTCTGGAAACAAAGAGAGCGCATCCCACCAATACAACACTAAAGTGGTGGTGGCAGCATGCTGCGTCTTACTTACATGAACATGCTAGGAAAATTTACATTATTGTATATATAAATACAGATATGCGTGTGAATGCACAAAAGTTTATGTAAATATACAGAAAATACTGTATTTTTTTGTGAAATTACAATAATTTACATGATTTTTGTAAACTTACTTTATTTTACAAAAATGTACATGTAATTAAAATATTTACATCAGTTTTATTGGAAATATTAATATAAGAATAATGGTAATTTATTGTGATTTTACAATTATTTTTTACAGTGTATAAGACAACTGTCAATTAACTTAAAGCTAACTCTATCCCGTGACTAAAAACCTGTTGTTAACTTCAGCCCATGACTAAATCACCATAAAGTATTTAAAAGATCACTTAGTGTCATGGAAACATGTACATTGTATATTGTACAATAATGGGCGTTTTAAAGGTAGGAATAGAAAAAATACTTTATATTTTTCTCTGTATACTTTTTTGACTAGATTCTAAATATTTAAAATATTTTAACTAAAATATTTAGAAGAAAAAACGTTTATTTATGTTTATACCACCAAATTTAAATACCGACAGACAGGTGTTTCGACCTATATAGGGTTTCATCAGTGTCGGGTAACTTGGAGTAGTGGTACACCCAAAACAAAAGACTACTTGAGCTTATTTACTGCCCAAGTAAGCCAAAAGAGGCAAGATGTAAGAGCATCGCGTGATCCACACCTTTGCCGCGATCTGTACATACTATGCAACCAAGAACGCACGGCAATTTGTGTCACAGATACTATATGGCCTAAAGGAATCTAGAATTATCCAACCTGGCTAAACTGTAAGGTAAACATTTAATTTTCTTAGTTTCTCCAAGACCCATTTCTGGTATTATTCCACAGAAATTGAACCTAATATTAAATGGTAGTGGTAAATAAAATATATAAATAACAAGTGGTATAGTGGTGGACAAGAGTTATGCAATACAGTCATAAATAATAAATACAATCAAGTATGATAAAGTAATAAAATTATGTCAGTGCAAATCAAATATAGCAAAATAAAATAATTATCAATAATAATAAAATAAGACAATGTCAGAAAGCTTACGTATAATTTGTTAAAGTAAATGTAATATAAATATAATAATTATAAACATAAAATTATGATTAGGTATAATACATTTGTAATTTGGTTTGTCCAATCACAACCATTTAAAATACAAATGTTCAGCTCATTCCTTCTTTTACAAAGAACAAGTTGAAATAATAATAAAATATAGTTTAAATTAAATAATAAATAATTAACCACTCATTATGATATTTGTGACCTTCGGTTATAATAATTAGATTTAAAAAAGACATACCTATTTAAATAAACAACATTTTCACAAAAACTGAATTCATATAAAATTAATGGATTATTGGTTAAATTTACTTCCTTATAACAATTATGGAATTCAACTACTTTCTTCTCTAGGTTTTTAACACGCTCTTTTAATGTTTATTTTTAAGACTAGGAACTGCACCTGCTTATTTGGTCTTTCTGTAACGACCACTTAAGGGGTCGCCCAGATGAAATCATAAATTATTATTATATAATAAACAAATAAAGAGTGCATCGAATTTTAAAGTGAAAACTTATACTTATCACTTAATACAATTTTAAAATAAATATAATATTTCGTAAAGCTTAAAAACTACCAAATGTTAAAAATTAACTACTCCATATATCGTCCCATTACAATATACTGTTTTATTGCTTTATAAAGTATGATTTAACAAAATAAATTTTATGAATTTTAGCTTACTTTTTTAGTTAAAATTTGTTTCCACAAATTATTTGTGCATAAGGCCATAAACCATGTAAAATTTCCACTAACAACTTACATAAGTTACACAAATCTGTACCTTATATTGTCTCTTCTTTATTTCCCACATTTATACTCCTAAGTCCATAACAAATGTGGTGCTTTGCTGCTAGATGTAAAGACGTGGACTTAGATATGTTTTCGTTTTGTTGCAGCTACCGGAGACGAGGAGCCCGCCCCGCTGCCCTGCGTAGTTTACGTGCACGGGGAGAGCTACGAGTGGAACTCGGGAAACCCTTACGATGGCACTGTCTTGGCTTCCAGTGGCAGAGTTATCGTTGTAACTATCAATTTTCGACTGGGAGTTTTAGGTAAGAAAGATTTACAAAAAATATGTTTTTCATGATATTTAGTACGTTTTACAAAAGCTCCTCATTACAAATCATTTATTGATCAAGTTTATCCAAAATCATTCCTAAAATTTCGTACAAAATAACATTTTGGAACGTTCATAATTGCAGCCGGGTAACTCTCGACAATTCTTGATTAAGCCGAGGAAATTTCAGGTGTAGCAATCTTGTTCCGGTTATAATTCACAATTAAAACGTCCCAAGTAACGAATACCCGAAGCCAAAGCCAACTCCAACTCCTACAGCGACTTTCCGCATCCCCTTGGAGATCCAGTTACTGGCTTAATTGCTGAAATGATGTCACTGAGATAATTCAGCTATGATTAGAAGTTTAATGAATGAATGTTTGACTCATATTTAGATGATGTATTTTTCCTTCTCTATACTTCTCTTAAACGTGGGGAGATCTTTTCGTTTTAAATAATTCATTTCGTTATAAATCAATTAATTCCACAACAGAAATCCTTCGTCTCGCCTTGGAGTGTTCGAAGAAGAAGCTGGTTCTTTTAGTAGCAAAATTTTCTATAGCAAGTTTAATGAATGAAATTTGAACAATTAGGCAATTTTGGATGCTTTAGGTTTTTTACCATAATTACTTTAGTTTTTTAGATAAATTGTCGTCAAAAATTCCATGATGCCTCTTAAAAGCAGTTTACTCTTTTTCACCGATCTTCTTGTTTAGATAATTTCTTAGAATACCTAAGAGCTGAATATCGTTATATACAGTGTGTATCAGCCAAATAGAATAAATTCGATAATACATAAATCGATTGGTATTTTTAGTTGCGCATTTTTTTCAACAGGATGTGTCATGTAGCAGTGGCCAATACCAACTTTTCTATTTCAAATGCAAGACCCTTGCTTGTTATTCAATTTTAGGATTCTTCTAAAACTTGTAGACATATTTTATGTATGTCTGTTATAACCCACGTGATCATGTGTGTTGTAGCGAATTTCGATGTTACCGAATCAATGTCCGGCAGTACCTCAACCGAATATTTCCAAATCGGTGGAAAGGAAGACGAGATCGATGTAATAATAGCACAAAATAAACAAGATAACTTTTTTATAATTCTTAAAACAATAAAACGTATATATACCTATTTTAAATATATTTTTAAGTGCAATTTACTGCAATAGAACTTAACAGTATGTACCAGTAAAAAAACACAAAATTAAATCTCTAAAATACGTTATAATAACATTTGATATTATCAAATGTTAGGATATCAGGTGACACAAATTACTAATTTCTAATGGTGGAATTGGAGATTGTATACTTTGCTGCAAATCTATCAGTGGAGATTGTCGACTTTGCACTAAATGTTATTTTTAAAATAGGATTTTAGGCAGGATTTAGCTCCTTTTGCAGCACATAAACTTTATCATCTTATTAGATTAGAAAATTAGTTGAAGTACAGTCTCCGCCAAAAATCTAATTTTTGACCAAAAGTGGAGATTGTCGGTTTTGCTATGACAGGCCTCATATATCATATATCATATAGGAAGCTTTAATTTAGTATAGCTTTTTTTAGAATTTTCAGAAGAACACGTAGATGGTTGTGAAATTGTGACAGAAGTATCTTTACTCTCCTTTTCTCTATATTAATTTTTGTTTTCGTTTTCGTTTTCTTCCCGCTTTCTCTTTTTTCTTCCTTGCTGTGTATTTCTTGAAAAATATTGTCTTTGCTTTTAAAGAAAAACTTTGTCATCAAGATTTCTTATTTTATAGATAGCGTCTTTTGCAACAACATTAAACAAATCTTCGAGATTACTTCTGAACATAATCTCACGCATAGTAATATTTTCATGTTGCTTGTTGAGAGCTTAATATCGTTTATACAGTTTTAATAGTATTCTCACACATCATTCGCTACGTAGCGCCAATTAGTCAAAACTGCTTTACAGTTTGTAAGTCACTGGAAAAGTATTGCCTTCTTCTAAATAGTGAAATTAAACTACTCGGAGACAATCTAATCCACGAGAAAGTATTATTGTGAAAAAACTTAAAATTGGCTGTCCGAGAAGCTAGCAGATCTCGCCGACATTCTGATACAAGACTACTTAATAGGTAAAGCATGAACGTGAAAGAACATAAACATAGACCACAGATTAAATAAACTTTTCTCTTTGTAGAGATTTGGTATGTTATATTAATGGTTTATAAAATACTTCTGGTAACCAATAAAGATGGACTTTAAATTTATCATAAATACTTAACTGCACTTTTATAGTGTACGTATATTAATTTAGTGGAGGATGCACCGGATGGCCGCTTGCTCGTCGTCGTCGGTTTCTCATTTGGCAAATTGGAATAAACAATAACACTAAACAAACAGCGGGGACGATAAAAAGAACAAGAATTACAAGAACCGGGTAATTTTGTTGACAAACGATCCAGAGCACGGGGTTCAAATAAACAACAGTTCGCGATATTATTTAGATAAGCGGCAAATGGAGTGGAAATTTAAGCATATTTTGCAAAAGTATACATTAACTGAATCTGTTCATATATTGTATAAATTTTATGTCCAAACTCGAATAACTTTTAAATTACTTGGGAAGGAAAAATTCCTGTAGGTATCCTATTTGCATGTTCAAAGTATACATTGTGTACGTTTGAAGTTTAAAGTGAAATTTTATTTCCAAAAGAAAATAATAACATTGTATTTAATACCTATCTTATACCATTTGAAAGATTATAAATTATAAAGATTTTAACTATAGTTTGTGACAGCATCAAAAAACCCTTTCAAATTTAGTTCTCTGATATCACTGATTTTCTAAGGAAAAAATAAGGATTATCCCAAATAGGTATGCATACCATGGAAATTTTCAAAAAATTGTCTCCTCCAAGGAATTTTTGGAAACTAAGCAACATTATTAAAGGTATCCTGAAGATTTTGAAAAATTCCCAGATTCTGGTAATTTATGTACTATGCTCCACACCTCAAAGTCCCACCATGTGACCACGTACGGAACGCAGCCTTTTGAAAATTTGGCATTTAAGGCTTTTCAGGTTATGTATCTGTCAAAGTATAGTCAACGAAAAAAATAATATTATGTTTAGGCGTTGAAAATGTATAAATCTTTATAACATTAGAATAACAATGGATGGTTTAAGAATTTAAGAATATAAATACTGCATTTAATGAAATTCTAAAAATATGGTGCCAAATAAGTAATATTTTTGTGCATTTGGTCCAAATATCTGGTTTTTCCCATAAAATAGCATTTATTTAAAAAAATCTAGCTTCTCTATTATGGAATAAGAATATCTGTATTAAAGGTACGTTAATATATTATAACAAAAATATTATCTAATTTTGTAATTTTAAGGTTAGAAAAATTTATTTTGACCAAAATAAATAAGTATTTTGGATTATTTAAAAGGTATTTAAAAATGTGGTAGTTTTTCTTATCCAGCTTAAAGTGTACCTACATAAAGTTTTGTCAATACAAATAGTTAAAAAGCTTCGACTGAATTTGATCTACATCAAAAAATCATTATAACTTTAAAAATTTTAATAAATCACATGTCATGGGAGTATTCAATATTTTCACATTGCAAGTTTCTCTAAAAATTGTTTGTTTTCTAATCTAACTTAAAGTAAGTTTGCCGAGAGGTATGCACAAGTTTTGTCGTTAGAAGTATAAAAGCTTCAATTTAATTTGAACTAAATTCAACAATTATTTAGTATACCTATATTTATTTATGACCATATTAACACACTCTTTCAAATAATCCACTTATTTATTTTGGTAAAAATAGATTTTTCTAACCTTAAAATACAAAATTATATGATATTTTTTGTTTTTATACATTAACCTACCTTTGATACAGATATTCTTATTTCATAATAGAGAAGTTAGATTTTTTTTAATAAATGCTGTTTAGTTAAAACTATTTTAAGGAGAAATGTAGTCCAAATGCACAAAAATATCACTTATATTGCACCTTATACTTTGGAATTTCATTATTGCAGTATTTATATTCCTAAATTCTTAAACCAACCATTGTTATTGTGATACTATAAAGGTTTATTAACTTTTAACGTTTAAACATAAGCGGTAACACTATAAATATTATTTCTTTCATTGACTATACTTTGACAAATATTCAAAAGACTGCGTTACGTACGTAGTCACGTGGTGGGACTTTGAGGTGTGGAACATAGTACATTTGACAACACTTCAAAATTTAATTGAAGCTCCTACATTTTTAAAATGTCTTTAAAATTGTGCAGCTGTACATCCGATTAACACAAGATGTATTTTATAATTTAAAATGATTTACAGCTCTGTAACAAAGTTTGTGTCGCGAATTTTGATGCCGTTGTCTCGGCATCAAAACTTGATCCAATAGAACATTTGTAATATGGGTGCGATAATTATAAAGTCGGGCGCAAATGGTGCCTGTTAATTTATAAAAGGCCTTTGTGGAGCGGTTTGAAAATTTACGCCTTCCACTGCGAACACAAAAGCAAAGTAACCTCTTACGAGGCAGCGTAGGTGCCTTGTTACGAAAAGTGAGGTCGTTAATCATGACCCCTTGGCCCCCTGGTTGTCGACCTGCCCCTGTGACTTTCCTTTCCTATTGTGCAAAGCAAACTCAACACAGAGATAATTACCGTCATAATTACAATTAATACATAATAAATTGTTATTTTACAAATAACGTATGTCCCATGGGGAAAGTCCCAATACTTTGGCACAAAGTTTAGGAGTCTAATAATAGGTTTTAATAATAAAATATTAAAGTGGCTTTTTTATTTTGTTGCCATTAAAATGTCTTAATAAGTTAGAAATAAGAAAACGCATTTATAATTTGATTGGACGGATCCCTGAAATAGTTAGGGTTTTTCAAAACCAAAATAATTCTCGAAGAAGCATTAACTGCGGCATAGCCAAATGTAAAGAAGGAATACCATGTCAAAATCTCACAAAAAGTAGAAAACCCG